AGAAAGATTATAGATCACCAACATAACAGGCCACGAGCTATGTTTACTACTAAGGTCACCATGAGGGTTTATTCCGTCGGTACAGAGGCCAAGCCTGAGATTTCTTGCTTCATGGCCAAATGCTGGAAATGAGACATCAATTGTTTTCCATTGGGGAGAATCAGCTGGATGACGAAGATTTCCATCAACAATTCTCTCATTTGCATGCCATGTCAAATTCTTTGCATCACTTGGATTTGAAAACATGCGCTTGAATCTTGGAATAATCGGAAGATACCATAACACCTTGACAGGCGATTCTTTGTTGAGAACACCACTGTCAACACTTTTCTTTGTTTTGTATCGGGAGGCTCCACATTTGGGACAAGCTTCCAGTTCTTCGTACTCGTTTCTGAACAGCACACAGTCGTTAGGGCATGCATGAATTTTTTTATACCCCATTCCCATTGGACACAAAATCTTTTTTGCCTCGTGTGTGCTCTTTGGAAGCTCATTATCCTTTGGAAGCATATCTTTTAATATAACAAGCAAGTCCGTAAAACTCTTATCACTCCACCCATTTCTAGCTTTCAAGTTAAATAGTTTCAATGTGGCATATAATCGGGTGTATTTATCAAGACATCCTGGCCACAAAGGTTTCTCTGCATCAACCAATATGGTATCTAACTCTTCTGCTCGATCTGTAAAATCATTTCCTACATCTCGAAACATATCATGTAATCGGTCATATGCATCATCATCGCCATGACACACTTGATTGCTTGTATCAGTGTTGGAGGAAGTCGATGTGTTTACTTCTCCATGCCATATCCACGTTTTGTAGAATTCAATAAAACCATTGCCGTATAAATGGTCTTCTATTTCAGCGGCGCTCAACATCAGGATATTGACACACTTCTTACAAGAACAACGAAACTTTCCATCCTTACTTGAAGCATTGTTCTTTGCGAATTGTAGAAATTGGTTAACCCCATTGGCATATTCTTTCCCCGTACGAGGCGCTGTTATCCAACTTTTATCCATGAACCAAAAGCCTAAACACATAGATGAGAAAAACGAAATTGAGTAGAATTGCAATCAAGAAAGAAACGCGCATATGCCTTCAATGAAAAGCTGCTGGAAGTGAACAATTGCTATGGGAGGAGATATTGAAAAGTATACTAGTCAAAGAAAATACAGATCAGATAGTTTTAGAGAAACAAAGAAGAACATATGCTTTGGAGAAAAACATATACTTATATATTAACTAAGAGTTTTTTTTATAGAGTAATTGACCGAGCCTGGCTGTTTCGGAGCGGGTCAGAACTGACAATTAGGGAAAATATTTCAGGAGGTGAACAAATGAAGCAAAACATACACTTGCATATAAACTAAGACTTTTCCATGTACAACAACAGACGTGACCCGGCCGGTCAGTTTTCTCACACGCACATTGAAGTGGCCTTTTGATTTGGCGTTTTTATGCGGCAGCCATTTGATCCTACAGTTTGACCATATTTTCTGATCTTGAGCACGATCTAGATCGCCCAAAGATACCTTAATCATAAGATTGGACAATCTTACGAATGGTACAGATGTTAATAACCTTGCACATAGTTGATGAGTGAAGAAGTAAGAAAATTCCTTAAGTTTCTGCCCGTGTGGTTTCTTACACAAGTGTTTTATTATTATTTTACTTCAAGATTTTAGTTTAGTTTCTCATTATCTCCTAACTTTAGTTGATTACTTAAGTTTATAATTACTGTTTATTATTTTTTTTCAAGTGTATAGGATCACTTTATTAGATTGGTATAAACAAACAGATAACAACCTAATCTGACCAGATAACACCAACCAGTTCAGAGTCTTAACAATGCTACAGTATTTTTAAGATTTGCAAAAAAGTTTTAAGTCACAAGGTGTGCAACTTCTTACCGCATCCTATACTGTTTGTTTCAACAAAAGAATGCTAAGTTTGCTTCAGGAAATAGCTTCAAGAACCAAACATTGTCTAATGACAGATCTAGCTTATGAGTGTTATCATTGAATTTCTAATAAGTAAGAATAAGCGTCGTTGCAAGTGCTTAAAATGCAATAAAAAAATTCTAATAAGTATAGATGTTATATTGTGTGTGTTGTTTTAGTAGCACACGTGCAATATTATAGCTAGCTGCTAAAATCAATCACATTTTAATCTATTAATGACCTGTGAATCTAATGAAAAAGTACTCCAAACACATCAGATTTATTTAAATTAAGTTGTATTTGGGATGAAAGACATTCATTCAGACTACAATAGGCCTCTTGAGTATATATATCATATTCAGCCTGTCTTGAAGATGGGGAATCCTAGGGAAAAATAGGAAGGATAATTGGGAAAAGTAAGCATAAGGATAAAAATGCGCTTTAAACTCAATAAATTAACTTTTAATCAGATTATGAAACTACTCATTATACAAACTAGTTCCTTTCACTTTTAGCAGGTCAATAACAAAACTTTTCCATCTCAGTCAAAAACGTTAAGAACTTGAAATTTAAAGTTTGGTGAAATTATTTTACTTCAAGATTTTAGTTTAGTTTCTCATTATTTCCTAACTTTAGTTGATTACTTTACTGTGACTTTAGTTTATAATTAGTGTTTATTATTTTTTTTCAAGTGTATAGGATCACTTTATTAGATTAGTATAAACAAACAGATAATAACCTAATCTGACCAGATAACACCAACCAGTTCAGAGTCTTAACAATGCTACAGTATTTTTAAGATTTGCAAAAAAGTTTCAAGTCACAAGGTGTGCAACTTCTTACCGCATCCTATACAGTTTGTTTCAACAAAAGAATGCTAAGTTTGCTTCAGGAAATAGCTTCAAGAACCAAACATTGTCTAATGACAGATCTAGCTTATGAGTGTTATCATTGAATTTCTAATAAGTAAGAATAAACGTCGCTGCAAGTGCTTAAAATGCAATAAAAAAAATTCTAATAAGTATAGATGTTATTGTGTGTGTTGTTTTAGTAGCACACGTGCAATATTATAGCTAGCTGCTAAAATCAATCACATTTTAATCTATTAATGACCTGTGAATCTAATGAAAAAGTACTCCAAACACATCAGATTTATTTAATTCATTCAGACTACAATAGGCCTCTTGAGTATATATATCATATTCAGCCTTTATGAAACTACTCATTATACAAACTAGTTCCTTTCACTTTTAGCAGGTCAATAACAAAACTTTTCCATCTCAGTCAAAAACGTTAAGAACTTTCAATTTAAAGTTTGGTGAAAACAAAATAGAATTCAATAGTACTATAAAGTAGAACTTTGGAACACAGAAACCTCTCAAGCTTTAGTAACCGGTATGCAAACAACGTAATCTCTTTAACAAGAACAAATTAAAAGATCTGTAGAAGAAACCTGCTAGGAGAGACTGACTTTTCAACAACGGGAATCGCAGGTCCTGAAGAGAGACACAGATGGGTTGGGATTTAGGGTTGGCGCTGCAAATCAAAACAAATACATTAATCGTGACTCCAGGGAGAGAAAGGAATAAAAATAAAGTCGCTGCACCAGAGGAAAAACAACGAAATCAAAAACCAGAGGAAAAACAACGAAATCACAAACGATGAAAATCTAAGCAAGCGAGAAAATGTCAGCGACCAGTTAAGCAAGCGAGAAAAAGCAACGAAATCACAAACGCTGCACCACAAACCTGCTATGGGAGAATAATTCAGTAGCAGCTGTTCTTTGATGGAAAAATCGCAACTCCAGAGAGAGGAAGACGAATAGTTTTCATCTGCTCCAGCCTCCCAGGTTGTCGCCCTCTGCTGCGTCTGGCCGTCCTCTTGGGTTCCAATTCCGTCTCACACTGACACTAGGGTTATGGAAAGGCTCTCCGCAGAGAAGTAGTAACCGATGAGAAATTGTAATCGATGAGACACCTAAGTTGAGAACCCGACTTTGGAAAAAAATAATTTCAAAAACATACACGTCTGTTCGAAAATTATCCGTCCTTGTTGACGCGGAAAAGACGATTCTTTTTTTGATTCCACGTCTGTTTTAAATTAACAGTCGTGAAATACCTAAAGTAGGCGTCCCTCCTATCCTTATTTCGTCGGTTACAAATAAAAACAGACGACAAAGACTTTATAATAGCGGTTTCTTTGGAACCGACGTTATATCTATGACGTGATATGTTGATATTGTAGTAGTGCAACTAACTCTTTCTTCCTCTTTCTAATAGTTGCATGGCGTCCGAGATGGAACGACAGAAACCCTAGAACTGTAGGGAAGGAAACATTTATAGAAAGCGATATTGATGATACATTAACCCTGTATATATTGTTTTATTTAATGGGTCATGCTCATCTTCATTCTCTTCTCCATTTCTTTTTCACTCTATCTCGCTATTTAAAAAAAATAATTAAACATAATCTTTTTTTCTCTACCCCACCATTTCCCCATCTCTCTCTATCTCTCTCATAATGGAGAGTTCTAGTTAATGGAGAGGAGCAAAATTCTTATTTAATAAGGAGTATATAAAAATATAAAACAATAAATTGAATTTGTGCAAATAAATTGAGAGCCAGTTTGGAGACCCTTTCTTCGGCTTATCAGGCTTATCAGCCAGCTTTTTCACCAAACACGTAATTTTTACTTTCGCGTGCTGAATTGTGTAATAAGCAGAAAAAGTAAGGTTGGAGTTACTTTTCTGGCTGTATTGGCTGAAGTTACTGTAGATGATCACTTTAGCTATTTTTACATGTAATTTTTTCTTTATTTTATTAATAAAATATATTTTTAAAATATCTTTTTCTAGAATCAGCAGAATCAGCCAAAACAGCCACTTCAGCCAGAACTTCATAAATTTCAGCAGAACCAGCCAAAACAGCCGATTTTCGTGCTACCAAACGGGTTCTGAATTTAACACTTTATAAATTATAACCAACCCTGTTTTACCGTGGCCTGGCCCATATAAAAATTAGTGCACCATCCGTCCAGAAAGAGAAAGCAAACACACAGGCATCTATAGACCCCTCTCCTTCTGTCTGGCACCCAAAAAACACTGCCCCTTTTCCGATTTTGGCGGGAGTTGAAAAAAAAGAGAAAAATGAAAGCGCGCGAAAATGCTCTCCCCCGGCCACTGCGGAGACGGACACGGAAAGTAGAGATTGATGAACCGGAGGCGGAACCCAAACCCAACGAGGACCCGGATTTGGATCTGGAGAAAGCAAGGCTCATAAGCTTAGCTATTGATTTCGGATTTGACGAAGACTCCGCCAATAAGTGTTTGGATCGCATAATTGAACTCTACGGTAAACCCTATCGTATACTATATCCTTGGTGTTTTTATTATTCTTAAACATTCCAATCCGTGTTTTCTAAATTTTACCATTCTCTCTGTTTCTGAAGGTGAGGATGGAAATGATTTCATCACAGTTGAACACTTCGGCGACGATTTTCTTGCCGCTTTGGCCGATTCAATGCAAGACGCTGAGGATTGGGATGATCTGAAAGCCATAGAATCAGAAGTTTGTTGTACTATGGCTGATATTCTGGATAAGGATGTTCTAGGCGACGCTGAAGCTGAAAATGACGGAAATATTCCTAGATACATCACAGGGTACTCACCAGAGAGTACAAGGAAAATGAATCCAGTGGTGTTGGATTCTTCTAGTGACAGTGAAGATATCCACTATGACGGAAAGGTAGACAAGACCAGTGCTCCCCAGACTCCTTCACATGCATTTGGCTTTGTTACGAGCAGTGAATGTGCTACTTCAAGTTCACATAGGTCTCCTTCTCAATATGCGGTAGTAATTCTTTATTCCATGATTTCCATCTTTAGAAATTAGAATTAGTCTGTTAGTGTACATTCTTTGTAGTCTTAACCATCTAGGGGGCAAGCGCCCCACTTCCGGTCCCGATAAACACTAACAGTATTTAGGTTATAGACTGCTGCCCGCTTCTAATTCGGTTGAATAGTATTAATTCTTAAATGAATGTTTAAACTCAGATATCGTTGAAAATGCCGAAAAGCATCATTGTGTTCAATAAGAAAAATGCATTTTTATTGAAACCGTTGTGCCCAATTGATGTTATTTTGGTCTCGATTGTTGTTATATAGAATCAATATAAAATGAATTTGTTTCAGATTGTTTTTCTATAAAATACAAGATAAAGATCAGGTTATATGGGCTAGTTTGTGGTGATTTTTACACCTTCCATCTTTAAATGAGATCTACATTTCAGGTATTATGCATGATTGAGGATAAAATTAACTTTTCCCTAATAATATCTAAATTAGTATAAATAATTGAATCTTTCATATTTAGAAACTACATGAAAGTAATACTGAATTAAAAGACTTAATAAGGAAAGTAAATAAGTAATACTGAATCCCAAAACTTAATACAAAAACTAAAAAAAGATAAGAGTTTTGGCACATACCAGTCACAAATTGGCATTAACTTTTCCCTTGCTTTTGTGCCAAATATCTCGAAACAAAGCGATTGCTACTAGGATTTTATCATAGATTTGGATAAAACGATTGCTACAGATTCACGGATCCTAGTGACTTTTGTGCCAAATTCATTATAATAATTTGTGCCAATTTTTGTCAACCCCATTGTTCTCTTTTGTATGAGAATTTATTAAAATTTGGATATGTAAAATGATATACTACCTCCGTCCCGTTGGAATGTTCCCGTTCGGTTTACGATGCTTGACTGACGATAAAGCAATTCGATCCCTGTTCACACTCCGCTTATTTTCAGTAAATAAAATTTACATATTCAGAAACTACATTAAAACCGCTACAAAGTCTGATCAAGAAAAGTTCAATTTGATAAAAATTTGATATATAAAGTAAAAGATTAGGAGTGACCTAAGTTGACCAATGAATAGTGAACGGGAACATTCCAACGGGACGGAGGGAGTAATAAAGTAGGATGCTGCTATAGTATAGCTGTGTGGAGTTCCTATCGGAATCCATATTTTTTATTGTTTTATTTTAGTTATGTGTCTTATTTTGTTGCTAATTTATTGGTTGAAGTCTATGTTGCTAGACTTGTGAGGGTGACTGGTAGTCTAGCTAGTTATTATGTTGTTAGAACTTTAGAAGTATGAAGATCTATATGACTAGTTATAGTTGTGTTAAGCCCATTTCCTGGTTAGCTATCCGTGTTGCTCTTTTTGGGGTGGCCGTTTCTATATCTAATTGTAGGGTTTATGATCGTAGTTTGTAGAGGTTAGCGGTAATCACTATTTGTCCTTTCGTGTTTTATATAACGATCCTGATTCCGATGACATTAATAGACGATTTCCAATAAAAAAGTGAGTTGCGGAAGAGTGAGATGAGCTGAACTTCAATTTGGGGAAATAGTAGTATTATATTTCAAACTAGTAGAAATAAAAAAATTTCAACACCTTGTAAGGTTGGGCATGGTCCTTATTTTGAATGGTAACTTAGATAGTTAGTTTTTATGATACAAATGATATAACTCTATTTAGCTTACACATAGCGTGTTGCTCAATAGTTGAATTTTCTTGATACAAATTCTACTCGTAGTTCATTTTTCTTCTAAAAACGGAAAATTCTCCAAATGAGATGTTTACCAGACCTAGAATTAGAAATTGTACATGACCCAAAACGGACACTTCTTAATCCTATTGGGGTTTAAATTCTTCAATATGAACACTTGAATTAATAAGACAAGAACTGGGCCACACTGGAGACAAGCTCACCCGCACCCCGCTTGAAAATTGTTCTGGGTCTGCCACTTTTAACTCTTATGGGGTGTTTGGTTTAGGTTATTCATTTTTACAGTCTCTTAAGCCACTCCCGTTAATTTTTACCTGCTTGATATGTTCAGATCGGTTTTGGTCGGTTCGATGAGTTTTTAAAGCATAATTTTCAAATCAAACAACTTATGGCAGATCGATTTTGATAGGTTTAGTTCCTGTTGGCTGTTGATCTCTTTTGCCTAGCTGTTACTTGCTCAATCCCAGTTGACAACTGAATGCTACACCTAATTGTTCATATATGAGTTTTTTTCTACCCATTAAATATGTCTAGGCATGAAAATGTAGTTGTTTTATTGGTGCTGAAAAGCTCTTCCTCTTTTTCACATGTTATGAAGAAATGTGCAAGCAAGGTTTCTAGAAGTTCCTTTTCATCTCTATCAAGTAACTCAAGGTCTTTATGGACATCGGTGAATGGAGATGTAACTCTTACTTACGGAGAATTGCAGCGGTTGGATGACATTGAGTTAGCAAATGTTGTAGTGTTTGGAAACCGCACTTTTAGACCTTTGCAACATAAAGCTTGCCAAGCTATTTTGCAAAAGCGTGATTGTTTTATTCTTATGCCTACTGGAGGTGGTAAAAGTTTGTGCTACCAGGTATAATTTCTCCACGCCTTCTGCACACGAGTTGTTTTTCATGCCATTTTGGAAATTTGTAGATTAAGACTGTTCTCTTCGCCTTGAGATTTTTCTTGTTACTTATTCTCACTTTAAGTAACAAACTCTTTTGTTATGAAACATCCGTCAGTCCATGCAATTTTTGATGCGATTTTCATCATGGGTCATCCAAAAACAGTCTATCTGTGCTTTTGTAAAGGGATAAGGCTGTGTACCTCCGATCTCCCGTACCCCACTGTAGGTGGGAGCCTTTGTGGCAGTGGGGTAATGTTGTTAATGTTGTAGTACTTATTCTTACTTTAATTAAACCATACCAGAATCAAAAGATACCAATCATACCATACTAGAAACATTAAGACCAGAGCAATCAAGAGATTCAGACCATACTAAAGACATTCAGACAAGATCAGTCCAAAAGATTCACATCAGTTCTTTGAAAATTAAGACCAGATAACTTTTTGCAAAACAAAACACCTAAATCAACTTATGGTAAGCCCTAAAGGGTTGCACATTCATGCTGTTTTAACTTTTCAAACAATATATAGATAGATAGTTCCCTGGAAAGTTAAATTAGAATGAAGTCTTTTTGGTGCTTGTACAAGTGGTTGAGTTTTATGGTTTCCTTTACGTTGTGCAGCTTCCTGCAATCCTGCAGCCAGGTGTTACAATTGTAGTGTCACCTCTACTCTCACTCATTCAAGATCAGATAATCACATTAAACCTTAAGTTTGGAATACCAGCAACGTTTTTGAATTCTCAGCAGAGTTACTCACAATCAGCTGCTATATTGCAAGAATTAAGGCAAGGTTCAATAGTTACAGCATCCCCTCTCATTTTTAAAAATAAACAAACCTACTGTGTTTTTAGGTTACATCTAAACTGTTATGCTGAAACCGAGAGTTTATTATGAAAACTAAATCCAAAATTATGGACTATCAGACTAGTAGGGTGACCACTGACAAAATGTTTGGCCAGGAATCTGTTTTGAATCAAATATACTACTTCCTCCTTCTCACTAAACTTTTTCCGTTTACTATTTATACCGTCAACATAATTTTTTGTTCCCATGTTTTGATTATCAAATTTCTATAAAATTCAAATTCTGTTTTGGTATAGCTTAAATATCCAAATCAAATATTAATACTGATGTAAATGTTGTCAGTCGGTATTAGAAAAGATAAGAAAGAGAATTGTAAACTGATCTTATTAATTCTGGAAGAAGATACAAGGTAATTATAGACTGGCCAGGTCATACAAAGCTCAGCTCAACAGACTAAACTAAGTCAACTAATAATAGGAACAAACTAACAAACTTATAACCAACTATCTATTAGTCCGTCTAACATTCCCCCCTCAAAGTTAGGGTGATTGAGGACTGAAATCAATCACACTAAGTTTGTTTTTAAGTTCCACAAATCTAGAGGCAGATAGAGGCTTGGTCAGTATATCAGCCAACTGATGTAGTGCATGGATGTGAAAAACTTCAAGTTGTTTGAGATGCACCTTTTCTCTCACAAAGAAAACATCAATTTCCATATGTTTAATTCTGGAGTGTAGGACAGGATTATGAGCAAGCTGAACAGTGCGAGTTTATCACAGTATACTCTGGGAATAGTAAATGGAACTTGAAGTTCTTTTAGTAGGAACTGTATCCATAGAAGCTCTGCTGCAGTGTCGGCTAGACTTCTATACTCTGCTTCTGCAGAGGATCTTGCAACACGAAGTTGTTTTCTTGACCACCAGGAAATAATGTTGGATCCAAGAAAAATGCAAGAGCCTTATGTTGACTTTCTGTCTGTAGGATCTGATGCCCAATCAGCATCACAAAATGCTGAAAGAGGAAGAGACATGGATGACAAAGGGGAGAGGTTTGATGATAAGCCCACGTGTGATAGTGCCAGAAAGATAACGTAGGATATGCTTTACTGCCTGCCAGTGTTCCTGTTGTGGTGTGGCCATAAATTGGCATACTTTGTTAACAGCAAAACATATTTCAGATCTAGTTAGTGGCATATTGCAGAACTCCAACTATGGACCTATAAGAAGAAGGATTAGGTAGGTAGTTACTGCCTTCATTGGTGAGCTTGTATTAGAAAAGTAGCCAGAGTATAGAATGAAGGAGAAGGATTTCATTAACCACATAATACCAGTACATCAGTATTTATAGTGTTCACATCAAACTCCTTCTACAACATCATCATCATCTTCCTCTCTTTCTCCTCTTCCAACTAACACTCATCCTATGCAAACTAGGGCAAAGTCAGGAATTGTTAAACCAAGATTGAATCCCACCTTACTATTAGCTCATACTGAGCCTAAATCAGTTAAGCAAGCTTTATCATCTCTACAGTGGTTTTCAGCTATGCAGGCTGAATATGATGCATTGATGGCAAATCAAACCTGGTCCCTTGTTCCCCTGCCACCTAACAAGAAAGCTGTTGGATGTAAATGGGTTTTGAGGGTGAAAGAAAATTCTGATGGTTCTCTAAACAAATTCAAAGCTAGATTAGTAGCCAAAGGATTTCATCAAAGATTTGGATTTGATTTTGGAGAAACCTTTTCCCCTGTTGTAAAACCTATTACAATCAGAATTTTGCTCACTCTAGCTATCTCTCATAAATGGGCAATTCAACAGCTTGATGTGAACAATGCCTTTTTAAATGGCAACCTAGAGGAAGAAGTCTATATGATTCAACCTCTAGGCTTTGAAGTCAAGGATCCCTCTCTTGTTTGCAAACTGCACAAGTTGTATGGCCTTAAACAGGCCGGCCCCCAGAGCTTGGTTTCAGAAGCTAACCTCTGTTCTTTATGCTGCTGGATTCAAGCAAAGTAAATGTGATCCCTCTCTTCTTATCTTTCTAAAGTCTGAAGTTCAAATCTACATTCTGATCTATGTAGATGATATCTTGGTTATTGGGAATAATCACACTGCTATTCAACAACTCATTCATAAACTCCACTCATCCTTTTCTCTAAAACACTTGGGGGAAATTGACTTCTTTCTGGGAATTGAAGTCAGAAAACAAAGTAATGGGAGCTTACTTTTATCTCAAACCAAATACATCAGAGACCTTTTACACAAAGCTGGAATGCTTGAGTCCAAAGGAGTCAAAACTCCTATGGTTAGCAACTGCAAACTCACCAACACAGGTAATACTCCTTTACCTGACCCTTCTACCTACAGATCCATTGTTGGTGCCTTACAGTATGCAACTCTCACACGGCCAGAAATTAGCTTTGCTGTAAATAAAGTTTGCTAGTTCATGGCCACACCTCTACAGGATCATTGGCAAGCTGTAAAACACATTCTTAGGTACCTCTCTGGCACCATAACCCATGGAATCATTATTAAACCCTTACTCCTAGCCACTGTACCTCTGCCAATCTCAACCTTTTGTGATGCTGACTGGGCATCTGATCATGTTGATAGAAAATCTACTTCTATCAACAGCTTGCAAGTGCTAATCATAGGGGTTTTAGCTCCTTTTGACTCAAGCATACCAGTCCGATTAAGAAGATCTCTTATATATTTGGCCTGAGAAAGATGAAGACTTCCATTAGGAAGTTTGTGTGCTTCTATACCCAAGAAAAAATCTAAATCTCCAAGATGCTTTAGAGAAAAAGATGAATCCAGTTTCTGAATGAGCTGAGCAATAGCAGTAGAGTTATTCCCAATAATTAGGATATCATCAACATATATCCATATGTATATCTGAACTCCAGATGAGAGAAAGATAAGCAAAGATGGATCACATTTGCTTTGCTTGAAGCCAACAGCATATAAGACTGAAGTAAGCTTAAGGAACCAAGCTCTTGGAGCTTGTTTCAGACCATATAGTGACTGATGAAGCTTACAGACCAATGACGTGTCTTTAACCTGAAAACCTGGAGGTTGGACCATGTATACCTCTTCATCAAGTACTCCATTCAGGAAAGCATTGTTTACATCAAGCTTCTGGATAGGCCAGTGATTAGATATAGCAATGGTGAGCTGATAGTGATGGGCTTAACCACCGGAGAAAAGGTTTCTCCAAAATCAAAGCCAAACCTTTGATGAAATCCTTTGGTCACCAATCTTGCCTTATATTTGTTCAAAGAGCCATTTGAATTTTCCTTAACTCTGTAAACCCATTTGCACCCAATAACTTGCTTATCTGGGGGTAGAGGAACAAAAGTCCAAGTATTGTTAGATATTAGAGGCTTAGAGCATCATATTCAGATTTCATAGCCTCAAACCATTCAGGTGAAGAGAGGGCTTGCTTAACTGATTTTGGCTCAACATAAGCTAATAGTAAGGTGGGATTAAGTCTAGGTTTCACTATTCCTGATTTGGCTCTAGTTTTCATAGGATGAGTGTTAGTCTCCGGAACTAAGGGTACTAGAGAAAGAGAAGATGAATTAGACTCGGTGTGAATTGGAGTTGCACCAGGAGAAGAAGAAGACTGTGTTGAGGATTCATGATTATTAGGATGTGAAGGGATTGACTGGTTTGTAGCAGAGTGATGTGAGTTTGATTTGGATGAATCAGGTGAAGAAGAAGATTGATTTGAAGACTTATTTGAAGAGGAGGAAGATGAATTTGTGAAAGATGTTGAGTCAGACTCATGAAGAATAGTTAGAGGTGCAGAAATAGGGATGGAAACAGTTGGTTGCTCTGCAGAAGAAGAAGAGAAGAGTGTAGTGCAAGGAAATTTAGATTCATGGAATATGACACCTCGAGTGATATATCTTGCCTGAGGGTGATAGGCACTTGTATCCTTTATGATTTGAGGAATAGCCTAGAAATACACATTCCCAAGAATGAAAATTCAGTTTGTGCTTGTTATATGGGCATATGAAAGGGTAGCAAGAGCAACCAAACACTTTTAAGAAGGAATAGTCTCGGAGTGAGCCATACAACTTGAAATAGGGAATTGAGTTGGAAAGAGATTTGGAAGGAGTTCTGTTGCTTAGATGGACAGAAGTTGCAAAAGTTGCATCCCAGAATTTTAGAGGAAGAGATGAATGAACAAGAAGAGATAGACCCTTTTCAACAATAGTGCGGTGTTTACGTTCAACAACACCATTTTGATGGTGTGTATGGGGACAAATGAGTCTGTGAGTAATTCCTTTTTTAGAAAGTAGTTTGGTAAAGGATCTAAACTCACCTCCCCAATCAGATTGTATGGATTTGATAGAGGCAGAAAATTAATTAAGAACATATTGATAAAGATTGGTGACAGGGGCAGGTCCCCACAAATCAGTAAAGACAAGTTCAAAAGGTGAATTGAAAATGGTGGTAGAAGCAGATGATGGTAATCTGTGAGCCTTGCCAAGACAGCATGTTGAACAAAATTCAACATTATCTTTATTGATATAAGGAACATTGCAAAGTTGAAGAACAGATTTCAAAGCCTCAAAATGAGGATGGCCTAGTTTAAGATGCCACAAATTACATATTTGAGAAACATTACAAGACTTAGAGTTATGACAAGTATTCAGAGCATGACTAGGTGATGTTGAAACATTGGCAGACTGAACTGGTGCAACAGACTGATGGGAATGTAGAGGAATGGACTGAAACTTGTAAAGACCATCTTCTCCAAGATTAGATGGGGTATTATAGGGTGCAAGATATGAATTGGGTGCAGGATTATAAGTTGGAGCATTGAATGGGATGTGATAGGCTGAAGGATTAAAGGACTGTTGATTCCAGTTGAAAGGCTGTGGAGATGGAGTAGACTTATTTGGAATAGTAGGATTTGGAGTGTGTGAAGGATTGGATGAGGTGTTATAAGGTGCAAAATATGAATTTGGTGATGAATTT